TTATGGTATATGTTTCAGAAAAGAGTTGAATTGGAAAGAGTATATACTGACCATGTTCCGACACTTCGAACCAGAGTTTGGAGATACAATGAATATAGGTCGGTCCATGTTAAACTAACTGCTTGTGCCCTTTTTTTCCTGCAAACAAAAAAACACGAAGTTCGAAGAGTATAGCAAGATGATATATATGGATGCCGATATTCAAGTTTATGACAACATTGACGACCTGTTCGAGAAGCCAGACGGGTATCTGTACGCCGTAATGGGATGCTTCTGCCAGGACACATGGAGTTATTCACCGCAGTACTCGATCGGTTATTGCCAGCAGTGCCCGGATAAGGTCAGATGGCCGGCCGAGATGGGATCTCCCCCTCCTCTGTACTTCAATGCCGGGATGTTTGTGTTTGAACCGAGCCGCTTGACTTGTCAGAACCTTCTTCGTGACTTGCAAGTCACGCCTCCTACACCATTCGCAGAGCAAGTGAGTGTATATATCTATCTATCTTCTTCTTCCTCCAAAGAAAAAATGGAATTGAAACCCTTTTTCTGTTCATGCAATTGGGCAGGATTTTATGAATATCTTCTTCGAGAAGGTGTACAAACCGATTCCTTTGGAGTACAACCTTCTTCTGCAAATGCTTTGGCGCCACCCCGAGAACGTGGAACTGGAGAAAGTCAAGGTGGTTCACTACTGTATAGCTGTAAGATAAAACCCTCTCTATCTTCATATATACACTCCCCTCCCCTCCCCTCCATTTGAGCTTTTAATCGAACCTCTAATCCATATATATTGTTTTTCTTCCAATTGAAAGGGGTCGAAGCCATGGCGGTACACATGCAAGGAAGCTAACATGGACAGAGAAGACATCAAGATGTTAGTGAAGAGATGGTGGGATATATACAACGACGAATCCCTCGACCTCGAGACGAAAATCCCTGCAGCTGCTGCTGCAGAAGGAAAACTGGTCATGGCTTCAGCACCCGAACCGTCTGCTCCTTGAGTTCACAAATACGGAACCCTTTTTTCATTTGGAAGTATCATATATCTCATTTCATGTAAGGTGTTACAATTCTTGGAAAATATGTTGTGTTTTCTGTTTATGATTCAAGCGTACCGTGTGTATGGATGTGAAGCTATACTGGGACTGTAAAGCTCAGTATTTCAATTCCAGATTGCAATTGACAACAAATTTGTATTCGTTCAAAGCCCTGACATCTACCGTCTATCCATGTCTGCTAAAGTTATTCAGTACAGAAAAAAAAAAGGTGAAGCTGGATTTTTTTTTTTTTTTTGAAATCTCTGACAGTCTATGTTGTATGTTGTAATGAAGATGCACTCGAGCTCGGTCCGAACCCGAACCCGAGTCCTATAAGACCGGGTTTCAGGCTTGGTTTAATAGATCCAAAAAATTCAGGCCGGCCCGTATTCTTTTAAATTGCGTGTTTGTGTATTATGAGAATGTCTGCACACACACAGACACATATACATATAAGGAGACTACGAAGGCTGATGTACTCTTTCTCTCAACAGCTACGTTGTTGTTGAGAGACTTTTGGCGTGTAGTGTCCATTGTCCAATGTTGTGTCTAGGGACAACAAATCTTTTGATCTCTCACATTACCCAAATTGTTAAATTTGTCCCCTTTCATATATATATATATACGTATTATGTAGCTATCTATTTATGTCATTGTGTTAATTTTATGTTTTATTTGGATTTTTGAGTGATTTGTTTTAAATCTATGTTTTCTAAAAGATAAGGTTTTTTTTTATTTATTTTAAAGTTGGAGGTTTACTTTGAATTTATATATAATTGGAGGTTTAAATGGATCTTTTGAAAAATTTGAGGGTTTTTACTTTTTAGTGCTTTTTCCTCAAAAACTATATCTACTTGAATCTTTTATATCAAAATTTAGCTAGAGTATTTCAAGATTCGGTTCGGAATTTTTGCGGTTCGGTTCGATAACGATTTATTCGGTATTCTAAAATTTGTACTGTATATTAATCATATCGGTTCGATTCAGTATTGCTATCGATTCGAGACAGTACGGTTCTAATAAATAAGTATCAAATAAGAACCAAATAGAGACGTTTCGAGATAGTTCGAGATAGTTTGGGACGATTTGGGACAGTTCGGGACGATTTAGGATGATTTGAAACGGTTTTTTTTTCATAAAGATTAATAGATTAAATTAATAAGTTGAAGGACAATCATTCGCTACAATCTGAGAAAGCCACTCAGGAGAGGAGTTTGAATAAAATACAAAAAGAGATTTAAATTTCAACGCAAATTTCGCAATCGCATCAACCAGAGAATTACTATTCATTTGTATATGAGCCAAACTGATACTCGGGAACCTCTCCCAAAGCACTTCAATTTCTTGAGTATATCTCTGCCAACTTAAGGACTTCTTGTTGTTATTGATCTCTTCTACAACTTCTTTCGCATCCACCTCCAGTAGCATAGACCTACAACCTCTTTGTAACATGCATTTCATCGCCTATAGTAGTCTGGAGAATTCTACCTCTATAGGGGATTCAGGAGCACGTATTGCTCGGGCACCCCAACAAATAACTTTATCCTCATGATCTCTTAGTAACCATCTCATACCACAAAAATCATCTTGAGCTTTCCACGATCCATCCACATTACATTTCACCATACCCATCAGGGGATTTATCCAAGGGATAATTTTCCGACTCGTAAGATTTATCTGTGTTTCATTACACTCTGTGGTAGCTCGTCACTCCGCCTAATCTTCGTTAACTTTTACCACTGTCTCAAATGGTCGATATTCCTTTTGATTAAAAATGTGTGCGTTGCGGTTCTTCCATATCCGCCAGAGATACCAAGGAAATATCAAAAAATTATGAACTTCACGGTCTGTACCTTTTCTTAGAGCGAAAAGCCAGTCTATGTTGGCAAAAATCGAACTAAACGGAAAACCATCATCATTTCCAAAAGAAAGTCTCATCTGCCAGACTTGCTTAGCAATAGGACACTCAAATAAAACATGATTAATGGTTTCCTCGGCACAGTTACATATCACACAATGTGATTCTTTTGTAATCAATCGCGTCATCAAACATGATTGCACGGACAGACATCCATGGAGAGTCTTCCACAGGAAGACCTTAATTTTGGTCAGTATAGATAACTTCCATAATTTTGACAAAAGATCGTTGAAGCTAGGTTCTTCCACTGCATTTTCTTTGTTCTCCTTTTTTAATACTTTCTCCATTATCCAATATCCTGATTGAACCGAATACGATCCATGTCTTGTAAAGATCCAACTATAGACATCCTGACAAACACAGTTTGGCGGACATATCTTCAAAATTATTTCTACATCTCTTTGATTAAACAAAGAGACTAAAATATCTTCCTTCCAATTGCCATTTTCATCAACTAGCTCGGACACCTTAAGATTTGGACGCAATAATCTTCCCGGTCCTTGACCTGCACGTGGTTTATAATCCATAATCCAAGGCTCCATCCATGCATTTGTTTGTGACCCCGAGCCAATACCTCGTTTTAACCCTCGCAGTATCAAGAATCTTACCGACCAAATACTTCGCCATCCATATGAAGGTCGCTTACCAAGAGATGCATTAAGAACATTCACATTCGCAAAATATATACCACGATATAATCGAGTAAGCAAAGATTCTGACATTTGAAGGAGTCTCCATATTTGTTTAGCCAATAGTGCTATGTTATAACTCTCAAAATCTCTAAACCCGATTCCTCCATCTTTCTTGTGACGACAAACTTTGTCCCATGAAAGCCAATGGATACCTTTTGAATCGCTTGATTTGCTCCACCAGAATCGTGAACATACACTACTTAATTTCTTACAAATACCTTTTGGTAGTTTGAAACACGACATAGTGTATTTAGGCATTGCCATAGCCACAGACTTAAGCAGTACCTCTTTCCCACCTTGGGATAAAAATCGTTCATACCACCCATTAACGCGGCTTTGTAGGCGATCTTTTATATAAGCAAACAAATTGCTTTTTGATCTCCCAAATTGTTTTGGTAATCCCAAGTATAAACTGTCTCCTCCTTCTTTGTCAATTTCCAAGATGTTTTTCAACTCATTTCTAATATTTCCCGGAACTCGGGAACCAAAAATCATAGAGGACTTAGAAACATTTACCAACTGACCAGAAAATGCTCCATAAACTTGTAAGACTTCCTTGATAGTCTCACAATTTTGGCAATTTGCTTGGCAAAAAAATAAAGAATCATCTGCGAATAAGAGATGCGTGATGGATGGGCATGTTGGTTTTATTTGGATCCCTATCAATCTTCCTTTTAATTCTTCGCTTGTAATGAGATATGATAAAACCTCTGCACAAAGAATAAAAAGGTATGGAGATAAGGGATCCCCTTGTCGTAGTCCTTTTTTTGCCTCAAAACTTCCATGCGGTTGTCCATTAATAAGAACAGAGAACGACATTGTCGTCACACAAGTCATGATCCATGAGATCCAAGTTTGATTGAACCCCATTACCTTCATCACTTCCTTGAGAAAATGCCATTCGACACGGTCATAGGCTTTGCTCATATCAGTTTTAATTGACATGGAACGATTTCTGACAAACTCGATCTGTTGATAAAGCATGTGATGGATATGATGCTCTAGGATGATCATACGATATGAGAACTATGTATGATACCATGTATTTATTGGATGAATGCATTGTTTGTTCATTATTTATTTTGCATATTTGATAAATAATGATATCCATGGATCGTTATGAACGATCCTAAATTCCTTAGTCGCTTGTCATTGTGGGAGCAATGATGAATTAAGACTAACATGAGGCATGATGGATGATCATGATGATGATCATGTGTATTGGATACGGATCACGGTCATGAGTACTTGTTTGGAACAAGTGACTAGATGACTCGCGTGAGATTGTCGATTGGATTTAATCCATGACTTGAATCTCACTTGATGGTTCACTTTGGATCCTCAGACCTGAGATATCTATTGTATCCATCATGACGAGTAATGTACTTTGACTGTGTCAAACGTCGTCTTTAACCGGACGATTATAAAGGCGTGGCTCGGGTATATTATGAATCATGTAATGGATAGTAGATAGTCAAGATGGAACTTTGTCCCTCTCGAAAGAGAGAGATATCGCTTGGGCCCGTCGTAGGAGTGAGACTGTAGAAATGTGTGGTCACACTATAGATGAATGTCATCTATCTCTTACAGTCTACTCGGGATACGACAAAGCATTCGAACTATGAGTTCGATTATGATATCGTGAGACAAAGAGGATCATCGTTGGAACTATCTCTGGCTTTACGGTTAGATCACATCTAACTCTTTCCGATACGGGTAATTAATCATAATGTCTTTCTAGAGACCGCTTATTATTTGTAAAGCAAGATTGGATCTCGCGTTTACTACCGTATACGGAGGAGCCTAAAGGGTCACACACATATGGGATGGACGTGTAATAAGGGGATCAAACGGACGAGAAAAATCGGATTTTTCTCCGTCGTTGAGGTCTGGTCCGAGCTGACCAAGAGCTGGTCAGCCGGACCAGACGTATGTGGGACCAACGGACCTGACGACCGGAAAATTTCCCTAGTCCGGAGCTGACCAAGAGTTGGTCAGCCCCGGATCAGAAGACTTGGTCCGGCGGACCGAATCCTGGTCCGCTGGATCGCGAGAATTTCGGACTGTCGGCAAGTCACTGTGCTTGGTCCGGCTGACCAAGAGTTGGTCAGCTCCGGACCAAGCCTCTGACTGGTCAACTCCGCGTGTTTTTACACGTCTGGTCCGGCGGACCAGACGACAAAAACACCAAATTGCATTTTTTTCTCGGCTTTTCTTGGTGGAAACATGTAGGGAACGCATAGGTCTCAATATATCTCGACCTTTCAGACCTTGGAAGGAAGGGATAGGGGTGTTGCATAAACTCTCTCAAACTCAAGAAGGTGTTCTTGAGATCATACACAAGAGATTTGATC